ATTTTTTCCGCATGATTTTTTCATGAACTTTTTTAATCACGTGCAAGTGCACACGCACGATTCAACACGAATTTAGAGTCAAAGTTTTTAAAATTGTAGTTAGAAGTTTTAAATTTTCAGTTTGAAAGTTTTTTAATTTCAAGATAAATGTTTTGAAATTTGGGATGAAAGGTTTCAAATTTGAGCTGAAAGTTTCAAAGCCGAATTGGAAGTTTTAAATCAAAGTTGAAAGTTTTTAAATCTTGACTGAAAGTTTTTAAAATTTGAGTCGAAAGTTTTCTAAAAATTAGGAGTTCCCTGTTGTACGTCTCTATTTATTTGTCGTGGAGTTTCCTATTTACATACTTAATAACCCCCTCAGTTTAAGATTAAGACTGTTTTACAAGCTTTGATTTTCTTTTTCTCTAAGTCAAACTTCTTAAAAGTTTAACTAACTAAGTTTATAGAAAAATATAGCAACACTTATAATACAAAATTAGTTTCATTACATTTAACATGGAACATAACTTGATATTTTTTTAATATATTGCTATATTTTTTATTAACTTGGTTAAAAAAAATCAAAACGACTTATAATATAAATTATAAAATAGAGGTAGTGCATGTCTATTCAACTAGAGGATACCTCGCATGTTGCTGCGGAATATTTGTATTAAAATAAAATTTAAAAATTCAAGTACACTTTATGTGATTAAAAAAATAGTAAGAAAAGAAGGGAAACAGAGGCAACAGAGACTGCAGTCTAAAATTCTGGATGATACTGTAGCAACTTTTTGCAAGGAATATAATAATAGCAATGCTTTACTTTGAGTACATTGAGAGTTTGAGATCTCATATAAAACACCATCATAGTGCTTGATAGAAAACAGGATCATATTTATGCATGATGAACAAAATAGGATAAGGTTAATGGCAAAGAGCAAGCTTGTTACCTGTTGCAGAGGCATGAGTTGAATGGTTTTATATGTATTTTTTCTCAACTACTGTAACGTGATATTCCAAAACTCAGTTTATTATTGATCAAAAGCTAACTTCCAAATCTATGGGGCAAGGAGATGAAAAATACTGAAAATACTCGACACAGTCCTTATCTTTCATGCGTTTTATTGATGGAAATTTGGAGATTACTATCATATCTAAAAATAAACAGGAGTCACCTAAAATACAAAGATTCAGGACTAACGTCATGCAAATTGAGTGGCTGACCTGATGCTACCTCCCATATGAGGAAATGAGATTCATGAATAGTTGATTAATTATACCCTTTCTCAACACATGAGGAAGATAAACATGATAGATGAATCAATAGAAGCTTGAGGTCATAAACAACAACTTATTTAAGTTAATTTAAGAATTTTGAGATCATACTATTATATTACTTAAATTATAAACTCAGGTCAGGATGTCAGGTAATATTTGGTAAAGAAAAATAAAAGGAGACAGGGCCCGTACAAACTGTTTCTGGTACTTGCATCATTGAGCCTGAAGAATCACACAAAAAGAACTCTGAATGAGAGCACCGTGTTGCATATATGATAAAAAAAATCTCCATCTAGGTCATTGCTTCACTGAATCATACAGTTGCCTGTGTATTCTCATAGAGTTGACTAAGGATCACCATACTTTTTGATATATTGGGAATTATCTGCAATTATTTTTTATCTTATCATTTAGTACCTCAAGTCCGCAAGATAAATCATGTTTACAAAAGGGCCAATTCCCTATATGCCCATGTAATTTCACCCAATCCCTTCTACGCCCCTGAAATTTGTTTGATCTCTTATATACCCCTGAGTTTTTATTTGGATCCCTTACATACCCATTCCGTTAGTTGACCATTACTTTGACCGTTAGTTATTGTAGAAATTACTTTATTGTCCTTGTTATATTGTTAAAAGCTAGAAATGTTTTATGTGTAAATTATTTGAGTTGTGAAAACCAATAAGGAATAAATTACTAAATATTTGTTATGAATTTTTGAAAATAAAACATTATTTCATTAAAATAAAAAAATATTTATTGTAAAAAAAAGTTCTGCATAAGATTTGAAAATAACTTTTCAAAAAATATTTAGTGAAAAAAGATTCGTTGTGAAAAAACAAAGGGGATATAATTAGTTTATCACAAATTAGAAAACAAATTTAAAATTTTTAAATAAATTTCAGATCAAATTTGATGAATTTTGTATATCTTCCCAATAATTTAAACCTAAATAACATTTAGTTTTTGCTCTTAATTTTCTGGTGAAACTAATGTATGGATTTAATCATAATTTTTAAAAAATAAAAAATAATAAGTTATATTTTTTAAGTTGGGCATTAAATGATTATATTGCTTGTATTTTGTATAAGGTTATTTTTCATATGAAAATTTATTGGGTAGGTACCACATATGTATAGGATGGGTAATATAATCATTTTAAAATATTTAATGGTCAACTAATGGTCAACTAACGGAGATGGGTATAGAGGAGATCAAAATGAAAACTCAGGGGTATATAAGGGATAATGTCAAATTCAGGGGTATTGAAGGGATTGAGTAAATTTTCAGGGGTATATAGGGAATTTTCTCTTTACAAAATGAGCTGTATATAAAATCATTGATTCACTAAATGTTGCTTAGTGATAAGAATTATTTGTAGTCATTTAGTGCAAATACTGTCGTACAGGGAAAATAGAAAGGGACTGATTTGGGATACTGAATTCGGTAGAAAATTGATATATAATTGAATCGAAGAAATTAGTGTGACTACTCAATTAGCATCAATCAAGATGTATTATAAAAAGATTTAGCTGAATGGGGAAAGAACTTACACTGGAACATCTGAGATCAGCAAGCAGTGGAAGTGGAACCCCCCCCCCCCCCCCCCTTTGTTGGCCAAGCAGATCAATCCAAGGATCTGTGTATGGAGGAGAAGCTTCTTGCTGGCCGAGCAGATCGATCCAGGGACGTTCTTGTATGGAGGAGAAGCAGCACCTGCTTGTTGGCCGAGAAGATCGATCCAGCTGCTGTGTATATCATCATACATAAATAAGATGGGAAAGAAAGGCCGGAGTAACGCAAGCGACCGTTTGAAAACATGAAGAATTGAAGATGAATAGACAGGACTAATTTTTTCGGGTTGCTCTGTGCGCCCACTGACGCTCCGTTTCTTCAAGCACACGCCTAGGAGCGCGAAGAGGTTGGGAGGCGGGTGCTGGGGGCGCGGGAAGGCAGCTGCGGCACAGGGGTGCGACATCGCGGGCAGAAGGGGAAGTGGCGACTATAGCGCCGGGGCCACGGGAGGCGATGCGGCCGTGAGGGGGGGTCCACCTGTGGCGTTGGTCGCTCCGAGGGCGCTACGGAGATGCAATGAGGATTCTCGAGATGTAATCGAACGGTTGAGAACTAAATAATGACGTGGCTCAACCACAGCTCAGGAAATTGCACTTAGTGGGGATGACTTGTATAGGTATATAGGATTAGTACATCTTTATCCGGCACAAGGGACCTCAGCGAATGCAGATTTAGCACAGGGACCTCAACCGTGGGCTGGATCCAACGACGTGGAGGACCTCAGTGACGGCAGATCTGGCGTGGGGAGCTGTAGTGATAGCGGTGGCTGTTGTGATGACAACGTTGGCTTGGGAGCTAGGGTTTTCACGCTGCCTGACTGCGGCGGTGGATTTTTAATTCTTTTTTTTTCACGATTTTTCTTTTTGCAAGCGGGTAGCATAAGTGACCACACGCAAAAAAGATTTTTGCATACAAGTGTGTCTCCTGCATGCAAAAATACCGATTTTTACAGACATGTCCGGACAAACGGGTGGCCCAACCGTATTGGAAAATCAGAGTTGACCGTATGGAGAGATCTTTTATGTAGTAGTGAACCGCTTCTCCTCCCACGGTGCATTGGAGAACTGACACCGGCCTCTACGCAGCGGGGTTGGACTTTCCCGCCACCGTCCATCCCCTCGGAAACCCTTCTTCTTGCCAGTCCAGACGAGGGCGGCACAAACCCACACCACATCCACCATTGTTCGCCATGGCATCACGCATGTCTGCGAGGATATCCCAGGATCACATGGGAAGAGGCTAAGCTCCAGAAGGAGTTGGGTGACAGCAGCTTGCGAACATTGTCACCATCGGCAGCAGGGTTTCAATCCCTATCTTGGCATCCTGGTTGGGACTCGAAGGAGTAGAGGAGCAGAGAGAGGGTGCCAATACCAGTGTTGGTACTTGGTTGGCTGTGAGGAGGAGCTCAAACTCCACGGCAACCTTGACTGAGAGATAAGATAGGGACAAAGAGGAGCAAGGAGAAGGGGAAGGGATAGGGGATGACAATGGTTCTCACTTTCTTTAATTGGTTTTTTATTGAGAGCTTATATATGAACTACCTATTTTAATTTTTATATTTTTTGAATGCGATGTAAGTGTCATGTAGGCACTATGTCAGGTGAAGATTATATCAGTATGTTATGTAGATAGCGGCGGCCGGTCCGTTGCTAACCTTCTCTTGATATAGTGTGTTGGTGTTGTCGGTGTGTGGGTGGTGATATACTTTTTTTTTTCTTGGTTACAACCCTCCAGAGTGTAATCTTGTAATTTTCTTCTGCTCTATCAATAGAACTTTGCACTGTCTTGTGCGAGTCATTAAAAAAAAGTATGTTATGTAGAAAAGACAAAATAAACTATATTGAGAGGTTGTGCAGATTGATGTATTTTAAACTATAACTTTTTTTTATAAAGTTATCAAATATATGTACCCATTTAGTTTTTTTACTAAACTCTGGTAAATACATAAGAAATCATGACAAAACTTAGCAATATTGTTAAAATTTTGACATTACCAAATTTTAATAAGGTTTATTTTGGCTGTAATCTAAACATGTTCTGAATTATTAAAGCATTTGTATCTGATTTAACGATTAAGGGGAATAAAATAACTTTATGTCACCTGATCACCTCACCTCACCTCAGAGCATTGGCCAATTGTTGGGCTGTAGTTTGGACGGGCTGGAGTTAAAATTTTGTATTTACTCTTTTTTTTTTCAGTCGAAAAAACTTGGGTTCTCCGTCTCCGGTTCTCCCCCTTCTTCTCCGCCCGAACCCGCGTTTGGGGAACGCCACCAAATTCCAGCTGCTCGCCTCCCCGCGCGGCCGTTGCTCGCGAATTGCGATCTCCCGCGCGGCCGTGGACGATTTCGGGCTGGGGGCGCCTGGGCGGCGGCGGGAGGCTAGGGTTAGGGGCGGCGGGAGCGGGGAGGTACTGGCCCTCCCCCCCGCTCGTGTCAGGACGGCTGCGCTAGGGTTAGCTCCGGAGGCGCCGGATTGGCCGCCGCGGAGGGCGGTTGCAGCGGCAGGTGGGGTGCCGGGCGCCGTCGGAGGCAGGTACGCACTTCGGTTAGACCCGTTGTGAAGTGGAACTAGTGACAATTTGCTCTTTAGTTGATGATGATATTTAATTCATATGGAGTGGAAGTGAGTTTTGTTATAATTAGGCCAAGAGAAGTGTACTAGTATTTCTGATAGTTTAGTAATTTGCTCTACATGAATTAATCTGATCAATTGTTTAAGGCTCGCTGATACAGCACACTCAAATTACTACCACAATGCAAATGCTTCTAGAAGAACAAAATTTTAAACCTTGTTGAAGGAAGCGGTTTTAGCTATGACACTCGCCGAAATCGACACCATATACATTTGATGCATCTGAGGACATTTCCTGCTTTGCTGAGATTTTGTTCGATTTAGAAGGACCTCAATTTGATTGTATGCACAAATGGTGTAAGCATCTTTACACCAATTGTTTATTGGTTCTGTTATGCCTATTAATCCTTTCTGATTGATACACACCATCTTGTTCATAGGAAGATGACGGAATTTTCTTCTAATCCTGTCCTAGAATTTGAAATTTGAAGAAGCTGACAATGTAGCAGAATGCTATCCTTAGGGTTGGATAAGGAAGGCAGGCAAAAACTGTGACAGAAATGGTTTGTAGTATTCAGAATCTGGTAATTACTGAATTCTACTCTACCAACAAGGCCAGCGATCATCTTTCTACCTTGGGGGTGTCATGTATAGTTGTGCTCTAATGCGTGTGTTGTTGTACATGTTCCACATCATGTTCTGTTGGTCTCACTCACCTGATTGATGATGTTAGGGCCAATGGGGAACCTCCTTGCTGAAGACTGCTTTCTCTTGTGATTTTATCATTTTCAGGCAAAGATAATTTACAATTAATAAGATAATCAATATTGACCTTTACGCCTTGTCAGATTATGGGATGGTTGATCCAGGATTTATTTCTCAGGATGAAATTGATCATTGCTTTTGTAAAGCATGTTGGCAACAGCCTTCTGTTAAATGCTCAAAGAAGCATCAATAATTAATGTAGATCCAGTTTTTGACTAAGTCCTTTCTGAGTGAATTTTGAACAGTTTTATGATCCCTCATGTACTATTTTGGTGTAGCGGTTGTTCATGATTTGTTGGTTATCAAGGTTATGTAGCTAAAATTGATAACTTCATTCTGAAAATGCAACTTGAAATAATGGTTAATCACCTCACTAATTGGATCAAGTTTGCATACGACATTATGAAAGGAATGTACTTATGAGTAGTACTTTTATGATTTCTTATGGCTTGTTATCCATGTAGAACTGCCAAGAAAACAACTGTCATTCTAATCTACATGTAATGCTGTTTGGTATTCATTGGTGTCTCATATATATATATTTTAATAATGCTGCTTGTCTCAGTTTTGAATGCCATGCAATTGACTATTAGGTCCTTGCCTCTGCCCCCCCCCCCCCTCCTTTTCCCTGTCTTTTGCAGTTTAACCCTGGAGTGTATTTCCTGTGCCCATAGTGTATTGAGTTTTCGTAGCATGTGTTTCTGTCTTGGCCCTTGGGGCCTGCATGAGGAGGTGGCTTGTAACTCTTCCTCCCTTTAATGTGGCAGAGCTCCTGTCGCTTTCACTAATAAGAAAACCTTGACAACAGAGATGGAAATCAGGTTTGGAGATTCTGCTTCTTTTGTCTAACTGTGATAACAAAGAATGTAGTCTTCTAAGTAGTCCATTATCTTCCTTTCTTTTCTCTATTTTTTGAAATGATATTTTTCTATCATTTCTGTATTCATCTTCTTTAATGTGTATACTCTTTTTATATATAATGACCGATGCACAAATTGTGACACCTTTTTACCACAGGCGCCACTGGGTCAGAGAGAAAGATTTGGCTAAAGCATTAAAGATTCACTCTAAGCAGCTACATCACATTCTCTAGTTATTTTGAAGAAAACTAGTGAGAAAATCTCATTGAAAGGAGGTTAGTATTTCTGAGAGGAAGCTGCTCTCATTTTTGCTGCCTATTTCATATTTTAGTATGGAGTCACTATCTTCTCCACTTAGAAGAGAAGTTTTTAATTGATTATTAGTAGTTTGTCAAAGCAACACCTGATAGTTAGGAGATGGAGAATCGATGATTGCCATTTTGACACCTCTCAGTTTGGCACTGTAGGATATGCCACCACTGCCAATGTGATCTATGCTCTTTTCTACATAGCCCATTGTTATTCCTATTAACATGTTCCTGGAATATGCATGTTTCCTTAAACATCTGATTATCTATGTGTGCATCGTGGGATTTTCATTATTTCTTTGTGATGGCTGTTGTATTGGGCTTTATAGATATCATTTGGGTCATACAACTCATGTATAGCCATTTTCTTACATATATGAAGTTTGCTCTGTTTTTCTATGTACTAAAAAAATTAGCCATCTGTTTATAGTACTTTGATTAGTTGGATCATTGTTGAATGGCACTTTGTGCGTGCAGTATTACTGAATAAGGAATAACTTTAGGTTAACTTTTTAAAGGTAAGTGTCCTAAGGGCTTGAGACAATGACAATGAACATTCACAGGATCATTAATGACAGCATCCAATGATCTGAACATTGCTTGAATTCTTTCGTTTTCTGGGATGGGTGTGGTTGGAGGTACCACTGGTGGAGAAACCCTTTGCAGTCCCGGTTCGTAACTCCCCTTTAGTCCCGGTTTCCAAACCGGGACTACCAATCCGGGACTAAAGATCCCTATCTTTAGTCCTGGGTGAAATAACCGGGACTAAAGATCGATCTTTAGTCCCGGTTGGTAACCCCAACCGGGACTAAAGATCGACTAAAGATGGCTCAGCCGTCCCGGTTGATGTTACCAACCGGGACTAAAGATCGAGCTGACCTTTTTTTTTTTTGCATGGCCCTGTTGCTGCATGGTTTATATATATATAAACCATGCATATATATGTTTCAGTACATATATGCATATATATATATAATATTATATTTATATATGTTTCAATACATATGTACATGCATAATATATATGTATTTATACATATATATGTTATGCAAATGCATATGTATATATATATATAGGACCAAAATATATTTACATTATAGAAAATGTGTACACATGCATATAGAAACATATGTAGTCATGTATTAATTACAATCCATTATATGTCCTAGCTAGCTACAATTTCGACGTAGTAGTAGTCGCTAGCTCAGAAGCTAAGGACCTACGAATTGTGTTTCCGTCGTAGTAGAATTCACCCTTGAGATCAAGGATTTGTTCGTTGATGAATCCCATGAGTTGTTCTTGAACCGCCGCGATAAATTCCTTGTGCGTGGTCAGGTTATCCCTCATGCGAATAAACTATATGAATGTATGAAATTGATTAGTAATTAAACAAGAAATCGATACGTAATGAAATTTTGAATTTATTTGTACGTACATTGAGCTCTCTTGTGGTGATGATTTGGTCTGCAAGGCAGTGGCAATACTCGCACACGTAATAGCCGCACAAGTTAGTTCCCTTCTTTTGCTTTGCGCACTACAAATAAATGACAAACAACGAGAGATCTAATTAATATACACTTGTATGTATTTGAATTGGAGAAATATAAATGTAGAGCATGTGTACTCACAGGAAATTTGAAATTCCGCCTAAGTCTTTCTCTTCATTTGCCGCGGACCAAATGACAGAACCGATACCAAGCCCTACATGGATTTTAAAGCTATGATTCGTAGTAGCAATTAACATAACAAGATTTTCTTAATTAACAGAGGAACTTATGACGGTACCTGTCTATAAGTTCGAAAACCTTGTCAAACGTAGACTCTTTTTTATCCATTGAGTAAAATTAAACGAAGACAGTAAAATTAAACTAACTCTGTGTTGTACGGCAACAGTATGAACGTCTTGTAATGCTGCGCCTTCAGGAGATGGACGAGATTGTCCTCTGTGGCTTGCGGATATTGGTCGAGCATTGCGACGTTTACTTTCCGAGGGTCGATGAATCCAGTATCGAAAACCCCCCGCCGTCGGGCCCTTTGAATCTCCATTCTATAACGATAAAAGGGAGTATATTATTTTCTATAGTCTACTTATATACAAGGACCTAATTAATTAAAGGAGACGTAGTAAGAAATCTAACTGAACGATATACTTACAAAATCCAGCAACTCATAATAGAGACGTCGAGGGCGTCCAGCTGGTATAGTTTGTAGATTCCCTTGAAATTGATCCAGAGAATGTCATCTCCTTGCAAGAAGTCCGTGTCCCTGATCCTCGCTCCGATCATCTCTCTACCGGTGGCGCTCATCTCCATGTACAGCTGATGGAACTTGTATATTTGTGTGGGTAGGGACTGCAGCAGCTCAGGCTTGACAAGCGGTTTACCGAGTTCGTATATGTATTTCACTTCCGCCTTTTCGATTGGTGCGAATCCTAGCAATTGATCCGTAGTTAGACCGGTGTCAGTAATAAATTCTTCTATCGTCATTTCTTTACCGGTCACCAACGGCTCGATCTCCTGGTTTGGTTGCTCTCCAAGCTGAGGGACTGGTTTGGACTTTCCAGAAGATGCTTTCTTCAGCGTTCGCTGATAGTCCAATAGCTTAATGGCCTCCTTGGCAGGTGCAGACATACCCCTGAAGAAGTTCATGACACTCGGGTCTATAGGAATCTTCTTTTCTAGACTTCGAGGCTTGAATTGTCTCTTGACTTCTGATGCCACGTAAGCGTCAAGCTCCTTTTGCGTGCAATCGTACCCCGGATCCTTGTTCTTGGCGGCGTCAACTTTCGCCTTCTTCATTGCCCTTGTGTGGGCAGGCGGTGGAGCTTGGGGGACCTTTGACTTTGAAGGTGCCGGAAGAGGAGCTTGCGGAGGAGTCGGTGTAGGAGCCCGAGGAGGAGTCGGTGCAGGAGCCTGAGGAGGAGTCGGTGCAGGAGCCTGAGGTGGAGACAGTGCTGGAGCATGAGGAGGAGTCGGTGCAGGAGCTTGAGGTGGAGACGGTGCTGGAGCATGAGGAGGAGACGGTGCAGGATCCTGAGGAGGAGATGGCGGAGCTGGAGGAGATGGTGCACGAGATGCCGCTTGTCGCCCAGGGAGGATGATGTACCGCCTGCGCCATAGAATAATGGTATGGCTTGTGTCTCGTAGATGCGTCTCACCGTCTCCTCCAGGGTAATCCAGCTCGAGGTCCTTGTACGCGCCTTCGACCAACTCAACTTCGACCTTGGAGTATCCTGCTGGATTCGGCCTATAGTGGTAAGTACCTGAAGGGTCCGTTGGGATGGCCATGCCCGACACCACCTTCATGTGGTGAGAGGTTATTTATTAGTAATCAACATATATAAGCAGCAACTAGCGGAATGGGCAAATCTAAAATATATAAACTACGAGCTTACCTTTATTGATAAGTTCTTGAAAGGAATATGCAGCTCACATGGTGTCCGCTGAGTGATGTCATCAACGGGGCAGGTGGATTCGTCCTGAGTTTGCATGGCGTCCATGCTCTGTGATCCTACCTGCCCCGTTGAGGCGCAGCTGCTACGGTTTCCTGACGGGCTCACCATTGCAGGAGGAATGGTCGGCTGGGGATCATTGGACCGATGTGCGGCCATGCGTTCATCAACCTTCCTTGCCACCTCCTCTTGCATGCTGAGCTCGTAGCTCGATACCCTAAACTCAAGATCTGCAATCTTCGCCTCGGTATCTCTCTTGCTCCTCATCCGACTCCTGTACGTGTGGATGTCCTCCTTGAACCCAATCTTCCAAGGAATCACCCCTTTCCCTCGTGTTCGTCCTGGATGCTCTGGAGTCTGCAGGGCGAGTGACAGCTCGTCCCTCTCTCTATCCGGTCGGAACGTGCCCTGAGAAGAGGCTTCCACTGCGTCTGTTAGTTGACGCGCAGCCTCTCGTATCTGATCGCCAAAGACCAGTGAGCCATCAGCTGGGTTGAGCGTTCCACCGTGAGCATAGTACCAGAACTTCGATCGTTCCAGCCAATTAGCGGTGGCCGGTTCGATACCCCTCTCAACCAAGCTAGCCTCTATCTCCTCCCACTTCGGCATCGCGACGCTATAGCCGCCTGAACCTAAGTAGTGATGGTACTTCTTCTTGGCGTCATTTTCTTTGTTTCTTTCCATCATCGCTTTCCCTTGTTCACCTGTCTTATATGCAACGAACTCGTCCCAGTGATCTCTTAGCTTTGGGAATGTGTCGAAGTTCGGTGTCTGCCCCTTCAAGATATATTTTTGTACAGCTCTCCCTTGAAGCTCTGAAACTGTTCTGCCATTTTCTTCAGAGTCCACCTTTTCACTTTGTACTCTGTACCCCCGGGAAGGGTGAATGTCTCGAGCATTGTGGTCCACAGCATCTCTTTCTCCGAATCTAGGACAAAGCTCTCATGATCTTCGCGTGCCCTTGTTCTTCGCCAGTACACCGTACTGACAGGCACGTTATCCCGCACAACCCAACCGCTGTGACGTACATAGTTCTTAGCGGCTTCTGCCGGGGCACTAGGTCGTCCATCTTCTTCCACTTCCGTTATGATGTGCCGACCCTCAAGCTTCTTCACGGCACCTCGTTGCCCGCGTGCCCTCTTCTGTCCAACGGAGGGTTGACTTCCACTAGCTCCTCCTCCTGATTCCCCTCCACATCACTTTCCACGTGACCCTCCTGGTTCCCCTCCGCATCCCTCTCCACGTTCCCTTCCTCGTTCAAATACTGGTTTGGATCCTCGTTCCCCTCTTCTTCGTTCCAGTACTGGCTGCTTCCCTCCGCGATTGTATCGTACAATATCTGTTCCTCATCGCGATCAGCCATTTGTTCATACAGGAAACATCTGCTAAGTCATAAGACATTTATGTTTTAATAATCTTATATTAAAACTCAAATAATCTTATATGCTAAGACTAAACGAACAGTCATGTATGCTAAGTGTAACTGTCGTATATTAGAACCCTATACAATCTTAGAAGCTAAGTCTAATTACAAATCTAATAATCTTATACTAAAACTCAAATAGTGATGATATATGCTAAGACTAGGTGACGTATATTATAGGACCCTAGCTAGTCAATAATTATATACTAAGTCTAATTACAAATATAATAATCTTATATTAAAACTCAAATAATCTTATATGCTAAGACTAAAATAGCCATGTATGCTAAGTGTAACTGTCGTATATTAGAACCCTACACAATCTTACATGCTAAGTCTAATTACAAATCTAATAATCTTATACTAAAACTTAAATAGTGATATATATGCTAAGTCTAGGTGACATATATTATAGGACCCTAGCTAGTCAATAATTATATACTAAGTCTAATTACAAATATAATAATCTTATATTAAAACTCCAATAATCTTATATGCTAAGACTAAAATAGTCATGTATGTTAAGTTTAACTGTCATATATTAGAACCCTACACAATCTTACATGCTAAGTCTAA